AAAGAGTCTGTATAAATCTAATTTAGCCTAGAGCATTGATCTCCAAATATCTTGTGACAATTTGAGTAAGTGGAAATTTTATTTAATTGAAACAAAAGGTGACTCACTAATATTTAGAAATTATATTTTCCTCAGATTCTAAAAAAGGGGAAGAAGTAAAAAGTAAGAAACGAAAAGGAGCAAAAAGTAGTGAAACAGCAGCCAAGGTGGCACTAATGAAACTGAAAATGCATGCATGTGGGGACAAGTCCTTGCCACAGGTCAGTCATACTCAGATGCTTTGTAATGGCATACATGTTTCTGATTTGCTCCAGCAAATCATTTTACCTATAGCTAGAAGCAGTTTTCTAGGCTCTTGTTGTTGATGTTACTTTCTCATTTAGAATGGGAAAGAATATTTAATCTAAAAAAGGGAATCTGTTTACTGAATTTTGTTTCTGAACTACCCCCCAGATCCACAGTCCATTATACAGGCATTTAACTCTATACACACGAGTAGGATCAGGGCTTGAATCTGGTATTTGAAAGCAAATCTTCTAGTATTGTGAATGAGAGAGAACATGGATATATTATGTACTATTTAAACAGCAGGTTAATTTGCATCACTAACCATGAACCCATTGCCATGTACAACAAATCTGGAAGCTGTCTTCTGACCCTTTGACCTCCAGAGGAAGTACTGTACTAATGAGCTCTTCCTTCTTTGCTGGTATCTGCAATGTGCAGTTAGTACTCCCTTGTGCTAGTTGAGATGAATCAGTTTCACATTTGGCCTGAATTTTGAGTTTAATAGGAAAATTATTTTTTTTTCTGTAGACATAGCTCATTATATAGTCATGATCACTAGTCTCCATTGCTTAACAGATTTTTTGCTGTTTTGTGTTGTGGTGTCCATTCAAATCAACCATTCCTTTTTTCCAAGTAAAGATATTTTTTCCATGTCCTCTTTACAGGCTTTTATTTTAGATCAATACTTGTGGTTCATCTGAATATATGTGTTTTTAATTATTCCTCACATTTATTTTAAATTCTGTAGCATATGGACACTAGGTCTTTACTGTGGAATTTGTAATGTTATATATTGGCCATAAAATATATACTGCATTTAATCTTACTTGGTCTTACTTAGTAGGATTTAATTATTATTTGCAAAATAACTAAAGATACTTCCTCTCTGAATCCTGTTAGGGATACTTTTTCTCTGCTAAAAATTACCACATGCCTGGATTGCAAATTAGATGTTTCTGCTTAGGTGGCAGTCATAATGTGAAGTCCTGCTTCTAGCAAACTCTCAGATTATGTCACTGTAATAGATGTACGAGTTCTGTGGTGTGAAGATGGTGATTAATTTTTTAAAAAGGAGAACATAATGTACAAAGTCTGTTTTTTGTTATAAGGAAATTAAAGACCTGCTCCCTAATTCTGAAGACTGGAGGCTGCAGCACAAATAGCTGTCTGTTAATTCCTTTCATTATTCATTTGCTTAATTGGATTGTAATTGTTTAATCATCTAGAATACTGATAATAGGCTAATTTATCACAGATGCAATTAATCTCAACCTCCAGGTTCTCTGTTTAATTCCCTCCTCAGACTGTCTCCAGCTGTCATTGTGCACTTCCTCCTTCTGTTCCAACTCTTCCTTCAGCTTGGTGACAGAATTTGAACAAGGAATTCCTAGGATGCCTCTGGCACCTCAGAAAGCTGGTCTAGGCAAGCTCTTAGGTTTTTCTAATCTATTTTCTGACCTTTTACTTGAATTAGGATGATACAAGAGTAGCTTTTCTGTTCATGACTTTTTTCACAGTGCATCCTAACTTCAAAGGTAACACAAATTACTCCTCAAGCTTTTCTGCTTGAGTGTATGTGGCTATACCACTAAAAAACCCTGAATTACCGTCCTTATTGGCGCAGTGTTGGGTGCAGCACTAAGAGATCTGGAGGCCATCCATGGTTCCTAGTGCTGCAGTAAACTGGGGTGCTCTGTGAATTTTGCCCCAGTGAATTTTGGGAGACCTTATCTGTCCTTTCTGGGCATGCAGGGAGGACTCATGATAAAGTAATGATGGACAAGCATCACTTGAATGATACTACAGACTGAGTTCATTAGCTTGTGAGTCGGGCTTACCTAGGTTTTAGTCCATATCCACTCTTTATCTAGTATAACTTGAGTAAAGGCATTGCCACTCTGTGTGCCAAAGCCCAGTTTTGAGCCATTAGTCATGTTGAAAGCTAGCTCTGACCTATCTAGGGGAGGCACAAGTAGAGCTAATAGGGAAAAATAATTACTTGTTTTGCTTAAACTGAATTCAGCTAAGCCTCGGTAAAAGCTGACCTAACTAGCGTGTATATGTAGAACACAAAATAGAAGTTCTTCCTGTGGTTTTATTGAGTTCTTAATGGAAACCAGCCAGAAGAATAAGTTGTCTCTACCCCTTGTTTAAATATACATCTTAAGGGAATGACGATTTCAGTAGTATCCTGTCTTATAAATTTGTCAGTCACACAGAGGTCTGAAGAGATGTTGGTTGCTAATGGGAAGAGGAGCAGAGTGAAAGTTGAGTGGCTGGTGTAGACAAAAGTTTTAGTTTGTGAATCAGCTGGCATGTGGCCTCCATTAGAGCTGACTGCTATTTTCCAGCAGACTTTTGTTTGCTTTCTGTGAGGGTGAATCTGCACTGCTATAAAATGTCAGCACTGGAGCCCAAATGGTGCTGTTTAGGTTCCCTCTTTCCCCTTCAAAAAGTAATCATTAATTTAGTATGTATTTGTAATGGTATCCAGTGTAATATGGTTCCATTCACAGTTGAAGTCTTTGGGCACTGCTTCAGTATAAAATTATTAATACTGTATGAATCATCTAAATTAATTTAAGACCACCAAATGAATAGATGTGTATGCCGGTGTGTACTAATAAAACCCCAATTGACCTGTATGTCAATTTATGTTTTTTCACTGTACTTTGGCAGACAGAACGAATTTACTTCCAAGTGTTCTTACCTAAGGGAAGCAAAGAAAAAAGCAAACCCATGTTCTTTTGCAGACAGTGGAGTATTGGCAAAGCAGTAGATTTTGCAGCTTCCTTAGCAAGCCTAAAAAATGACAACAACAAATCAACAGCCAAGGTAAATCACTGATATTGGTTTTCATGTAATGAGTTTTAATTCTGTCTCCTTTTTTGCATAGATATGAATTTAACAGCAAGGTTTGCTGTGTTTCCCCCCTCACAGAAATTACGTCTGTGTCACACTGTATCTGGAGAAGTGCTGCCATTTGACCACACATTGGAAATTTGGATGGCCAATAAAGAGTGTCCGTTATATAATGGTGGAAACATTATTTTGGAATATCTTGATAATGAAGATCAGTTCATAGAAGACACAGATTCATACTTAGAGTAGTTGATCAGTAAATTGCATGGAAAATACAGATCATCAAAAAACGCTGAGCTAAATTAAAGCACAACTTGTGCTTGTATTCTGCCCTCAGGTAGACAGTTCCTGTTCACGTCAAATGGATGGAGTTATATCTGCAGAACTGACAACAAAACGGAACCCTTTAAAAATGGGTCCTTAGTTTTAACAAGGACAAGCTGTACTTATTTCACTAAAAACAGTTCAGCACATGTAATGCACTGATATTGTTGAATTTAAATATTTATAAAACAGAAATTCTTTCATTTACAAACAACATAAAACATACTAGTAAATTAAACAACATCTACCAACAAGGAGAATGCATTAGAAATTAGATTTATTTCTTTGTTTTATTCTACTGCCATTATGCAACACAATAAAGATTTTTTTTAAACATTTTAAAGTTATAAAGTTTAATGTGTTTTTATGTAAGTTAATTTACATTTGAGTAGTTTATTTTTTGCATCTGTATTCTTTTAGCCTAACTGAATGAACTGTAAGTTAACTGGAAATTGGAGGCACCCTATCTGCTCAGGCAGATTACAGTATTCTCACCATTACCTTTCAGAATCATGGAATTCACCATTTTTTCCATGTTTTCCCTTTTGATCCTACCTTGACAACACTCAATAAGAAGTGTTTCTGAAGGAATGCTTTTTTAGAAATCAGGAGCTACTCTGCAGACACTTTCTATAGACAAGATTAAGTGGAAGGGAAAGGAAACAGAATTTTTAAGTCATCACATCAGTTCTGAATGTATGACAGAGAGGGGCATGGCTACAGTATGTGACTCAACTACCAAATAAGGGCCTCCAGAGTGCTCAGCCCATGTCAGTTCCAGATGTGATACTCTTAAGTAGACCACACAATAATTCAATGGCTTGTTGAATTTTTCTTTTCAAACCAGCAAAACCCTGGTCCAAACTTTGAATAATTGCCTTTATGGCTATTGAAGGGGCTATTGACAGTATTGTTCATACTTCCCTCAGAGAAGTATAGGTCCCAGCAGTACATAAATACATTATGGCCTAATGCTATGTGTTTCAGTATTAATGACCTTGATTGCCACTATCTGTAAGCCCTTTTTTCTGAGAGAGGTCACTAAGGAGGTAGCATTGTACACCAGTACATGATGGTCTCATTTTAGGACTTCTATTACTTAGATTTCAGGCATTATATGTGACATGCTGTAACATGGGAAATAATTAATTGTAAATTCAAAAATATCCATTAAAGCAAGGGAAAGACAGAATAAAATTATTTTTGTCTCAAAAAGTAGTGTGCTTAACATATGGTGTCAATCATATGGCCTGCGGGATGGATCTGTCCCGCGGAGGCTCTCTATCCCATCTGCTGGGCTACCAGCAGGTACTGGAAGTTGGGGAGTGTGACCTGCCACAGAATTGGGTCCATTTGGCCCTGCTGGGCATGGCTGTCGGCAGCAAACTTTGCTCGCCACTGCTGCTGTCCCTAGACCTGTTCTCCTGGACCCCACACTGCCATGTCCATGGCGGCCAATGTGGCAGCCCTCGCTCCCTGGGCTAGATCTGGCCCAAAAGGAGCCCTGCAATTCAGATCCAGCCCAGGGCCCCACGTAAGTTTGACACCACTGGTAGATACACACATTACTTATTTTGAATTGTGATTTTGAAAATGATTCCTTCAGTCATTGGTACTCATATCTTTTTATTTAAAAAGAATCAATAATTGATCCAGCTTTCTGGGGTTAGCATGGATCTAGCAAGACATTTTGGAACTAATGTTTTCTTTCGGTGACTGGCACAACCCCTGAGTAAGATATTTTATTGATTGAGTGTTAAGTTTCTTCTTGTGTCTGTTGTGAAACCATTTAATTTAAATTTCATTTATCTGTCTCTGAAAGTCACATTAATGTTAGTTCCATCTGTATTTAAACTTTACTTGAAGTGTAATGACATTTAAGAACCAAGCACCTTTTGAAAACTATGAATCCTTCCTGAGGCTTTGTATACAGAATCTTATTAAGTTTATCCTATGTTTGTTAGTTTCATTCTGCGATCTCTTTCTCAGAAAACATGGAATTGCTAGGTAGTTTTAGGGATAATTAATCCTTATCCTAGATGAACTCTGCGTGCTCTTGATTATAGTTATGTTTACATAAAAAGAAAACTTGTGTCAAGCTCAAGCTGGTCCTCCCTGGCCTCAGGCCCAGGCCCAGGCCCAGTCCTCCCTTCCTCCCGCTGCTGCAGCGGGGAAGGAGGGAGCAAGCCCAGACCCCAAGCAACAGGAGGGAAGGAGGAGTGGGCCCAGACTGGGTGGGGCCCGGGGCTCTGTTGCCCCCCCCCATCAGAGAGGTAGATAACGTGGGGGGAGTAGGCCCAGGTCCAACACAGTGGGGAGGGGAGCGAGCCCGAGCCCAACACAGGGTCGGTGGGGAGGGGAGTGGGCCCGAGCAAGGGAAAAGCCGACCCACTGAACTGGGTGGGGAACAGCAGGCTTGGCCCAATGAGGCCACAGCACTGGCTGGGGGAGGGAAGGAGCGGCCCTCCTCCCCATCTCAGGCCCGGGCCCACTCCTGCCCAACCCCGCTCCCCCGCATTGGCCCTGAGCCTGCTCCTCCTGTCCCTGAGCAGGCCCGACACGGAGTGGGGGGGAGGGAGTAAGCAGGCACACCGTGGCATCAGCAGTGATGGTGGGGCCAGGGGAGGACTGGGCCCCGGTCCAATGCAGTGGGGGGAGTGAACCCGACCTGGGGGAAAAGCCGGCCCACCACTGCAGTTGGGGAAGGGAGACAGCGGGCCCTGCCTGTCCTGGCCCAGCTCAGCGCAGCCCAGCCCAACACAGCAGCTGCTGGGGGGAGGGGAGGAGTGAGCCTCCTCTCCCCGTCAGACCCGGGTCCACTCCTCCCCCACTCCCACTTCAGCCGTGAGCCTGTTCTTCCTGTCCCCCCACCACCACCAGGTCGGCCCCGGCCCACTGCTCCCCCCTGGCCCAGCAGCCCGGCTTCTAACAACCCTCGGGCCTCGTCCTGCCCCACTTCGGAACCAGGCTTGCTCCTCCCTTCCCCCGGCTGCTGCAGCGGGGAACGGGGGGGGTGGGTCTGAACCCCAAGCAGCAGGAGGGAAGGGGAAGCAGGCCCGGACAGACGGGGTCTAGGCAGGGGGGGGGCCGGGGCCCCCACCC